GGGGTCATCTCAGTTGTGTGCCAATCTAGTGCACCTGTTGTTAATTTTATTAAACATGCCAAAGCAGCTGAAACTGATTAACAAACCCCTCTGCTACTTAATGACCAGTATCAATATCCCAAGAGTTTAATTGACTTTAATTATATACTCTGATTAAAAGTGTTCCTTTAATTTTTTTTTGAGCTAGTGTACAAAAAATACTGCTCAAAACAATCATCAGTTAGCTAGGGAAGGACAGCCAAAGAGACTTAAGTAATTTTGATGACATAATTAATTACATGTATATGGTGGTGAGCATGTTATGGCAAAATGTGGATCTTCATTCTTTCATACTGAGTCTTGTACTCCTGTTTCTTGATGAGATCCTTTGGGGAGCTCATTACCTGTACTTGCTACATTATCAGATAACATTGCAAGTTGCAGCTGTAAACTCCGATATAGAGCTACAGTACCAACTTGTCACTAGCCTTGGTGTAGGCCTCGTGTAACCATGGCTGTAGGACTCCTTGATCTTTTTTAATTCTGAATTTTTTATCTCGTCATCCTGTCCAATCACTTCTCAAACAAACAATAAAAGGCTATGAAAATCTACTCATTATTATTTAACCTTCCTTTTGGGTTTGAATAGATGGAAATTTTATCGTTATGTACTTATGCCAATAAATCTCAAGAGGGATCATCCCTCAAAAGTGATAGTTTAGTCAAATTCTTTTTTAATGCCACAGAAAACAATTGCCTTTCTCCTCTCTAAGCCCAGTCTCCATTGGCTGCATGTAGGGTCCTCCTTTCTTTGTGTGCTTTCTGTAGAAAGCCAGGTGTTAAGGAGTGTCGACTCATGTAGGGTAGGCTTCCAATTGGGTCCTTGTAGCCATGTAGTGTGCTATCCAATAGTGCTACACACAAGCGATTGATTAGAGACATTGCTTCTGTCACGGAGTTTTCTGACAGCAGCCTGGAGCCTAAGGTCGCTTCACTGCCCTCATTTTTCTTCTGTTGAAAATAGATCACAGGAAAGTTGGTTAGCACCCTGAGGTTGGCCATCTCAAAATGAAAGTTTACTTTTTTGAAAAAGCATGTAACGATTCACTGTTAAAAACACCGTTTCACAGTCCACAGGCCTTATGTCTCATGGCTGGAGAAATGAGGGGAGTGACACTGAAGCTGAGAAGACATCGACTGTAGGGATTGACATGTAGTCCAAAGTAAGTGTATAGTGATGGGGGGTAAGTCAGGTATAGTGGGTCATTGAGTTTAACTTTAGCAGAACACCTAAGCAGAAAATTGTATTAAGATAAAAACTTTTAGACTTTAGAACTAGCTTTAAAGTGCTTGTAAACCTCAGACATAAATTATGAACAAAGCAAATATCCACTTCACGTGAGTATATGTAAGTTTTTCCAGCTACTTAAGGAATATTGGCTTTCTCACATAATGCTGGCCCTACTCCCCATATTTACAGTTGCATCGCATACAACTCATATGTGTTTTTAAATTCAAAGCTGTGTTACGCAAATAAATTATAGATATTAGTGCCTGTGACATCATAGAATAGCGTCTGTTAATTCTGCTATACCAGGATGCCAGGAGGGAGGGTCCAGTGCAGCTGATATGTTTATGGTCAGCGCAATTGCACTGAGATACTACATAGGGGGAACCAAGCGGAATGGTCACTCTGCTTGCACATAGATCTGGCACAGGTGTCTAGCTCCCTGGGAAAGGAGAAATGCCACCGAAAACCAGTCTATTAAAATCTTTAATCAGATGACCAAGAAGACAAATTTATTAAAGTCAGAAAAGTCAAAATTAAGTGACAAACTTTTTATATATTGCTCGTAGGGTCAGTATTTCTCAAGCTTGTTAATTGTTTTTGCATAATTTTGCAGCTAATCTTACAAAGGTTATGTGTGAAGTAATGTAGTTGGTCAGTAATGCAATATATCCAAAAATGATATCTCCAAACACCTGTTCATAGGTAGGAAGGACTTAAGTGGTTGAGAAAGACTCAAGGTTTTCACCTTTGTGCATTCTATTTATGGAAAGTAAAAGCCCTTCTGTGTGCAGCAGCCCCCCAGCCCCCCCTAATACTTTACCCAAGCCCATCGCGATACAGCGATGTGCACGATAGGCTCAGTTCTCTGGGGGTTTCCCTCCTCATTGGCTGAGACAGTAGTAGGAGCCATTGGTTCCCGCTGCTGTCAATCACAAGCAGTGAGTCAATGAGTAGAGAGAGGGGGTGGGGCAGATCCACGGCTCTGTGTGTGAATGGACATGCAAAGCAGCAGCTTCGGAACAAGCCTGCTCAGGTGCCCCCATAGCAAGCTGCTTGCTCTGGGGCACTCATCAGGAGGGAGGGGGCCACTAGTGCCTGTGGGGGACCTGAAAAGAAGAGGATCTGGGCTGTTCTGTGCAAAACCACTGCACAAAGCATTTAAGTGTAGACACTGTTTATTTTTTTTTTACTGCCTTTAATATCACTTTAAAGGCAATTTTAAACCTTCCTACCTGCACCTTGTGTTTTTCACCTGCAGATGTGCATTAGTCATGTAGTGTCATGGTGGCATTTGTTGCCCTGTATGCACAGTCCATAGTACAGTAAATCTTCACATTTCTGTGTCAGAATCGTCTGTTTGTGTTTAAACATTGAGGCATGCAGCATGCACCTGCATCGGTAAATGCATGACCTCTGTAGTCTGAGAACTGACATTTCCCATAATCCTTGAGTCTCCCAGTCTAGCACTGGTGCAGGTGAGAGCTACATAGTAATTATATCCGACACAGACACACAAAGGCAGAGGAAATAGTCATGCAATGGATGCTGTGTGACCCAGAACATGAAGTTGCCTGTCCATTTCAGCGCATAGGGACTGGGTAGCTACAGCAATAACAAGGATACAGGAGGATTGATCATCCATGACACTACAAACTTCAGCCACAACATCTGAGCCTATAATTACAAGTTAAGGCAAATAATTGACACATGGAATAAATAACTTACACTAATACGGAGTTAACCACATGCCGTCCCAGATCCACTGTAGAAATACGTTGGGAGGGCGGCACGGCTGGGCAAACCACGTTTTAAAAGGTGTGTTTTCAAAACAGGTAGGGGGCGTGCGCGAGGCGTGCTACCAACCCTTCCTGTCCTCGCCGATCACAACAGCCGCGGATGTCAGTTGCCCGGGTCCACAGCCGGTCGTTAACCGGCAGTGTCCCGGCGATTAGCTGCAATCACTGACTTGTCTGAGGGCTCCAGGGTATGACCAGAGGTATGTGACCTGACGCAGGGAAACGCAGGCTTCAGATAAGTTATAAACAATATAATTTATTAAAGACTAACAATACAAACATAAACGCAGTGCAAATACTAAAACATAACACAGTTGCAAACGAACCAAACCAAACCACCCACAGATAATACATACAATGCATAAGCGTCGTCAGCGGGCAGGCCGGGTCAATAACAATCGGGCAGGTAGGTACAGGGGGGTCAGGCAGAGAATGGTCGGGGTCACAAGCCAGGGATAAAACAGGAGAAGTCAGCAGAGGTCCAGACCATGGCAGGGTCAGCAACGAATCAGAACAGAAGACAGGAACAGAACAGGAATGCAGGATTACAAGATACAGGGCCCAGGAAAAACACACACACACCAAGGCCAAGACTGTAGGTCTGGCCATCACCTAAATACACCTGCATAAGCAGCCTCAGGTGTTTTGGCTGTGGCTGCAGAGGGTTGAGTCTCTGATTGCCGGGAGCACCCGCTGGCCAGCCCCGGCACTGCAGCCCACAAGGCAGGTGAGTCCCACCATTACTGGCAAGTCCATTCCTAACAGTACCCCCCTACCAAGGAGCGGACTCAGGACGCTCCAAACAGTCCTAGCTGGGCAAAATGTTCCACCGCCCGGGTCTGGTAACTGGCGGGATATCAAAGACTGGCACATCGGGCAGGAGTCCGGAGCAGCGGCACATCGGAGCAGGACTACCGTGCAGCGGCACATCGGCAGGACTTCCGGGCAGCGGCACATCGGGCAGCGGCACATCGGGCAGGACATCACCGGGCAGGCGGACACATCGAGCAGGACTCCGGGCAGCGGCACATCGAGATCTGGACTCCGGGCAAGGACTGCCGGGCAGAGGCACATCGGGCTGGACTCTCCGGGCAGAGGCTACATCGGCTGGACTCCGGGCAGAGGCACATCGGGCTGGACTCACCGGGCAGAGGCACAATCGGGCTGGACTCCGGGCAGAGGCACATCGGATCACCAGGCGAATGGCAGCAGGCACCGGGCCACCAGGCGGAGCAGCAGGCACCGGGCCCCCCAGGCGGGGCGGACAGGCACCGGGCCCCAGGTGGGGCGACAGGTCTTGGACCCCAGGCGGAGTGGCAGGCGCCGGACCCCCAGGCGCTAGCGACAGGTCTCGGGCCCCCAGACGGAGCGGCGGGCGCCAGACCCCCGAGGCGGAGCGACAGGTCTCGGGCCCCCAGGCGGAGCGGCGGGCGCCGGACCCCCAGGCAGAGCGACAGGTCTCAGGCCTCCAGGCGGAACGCGGGCCGCCGGACCCCCCCAGGCAGACGACAGGTCTCGGGCCCCCCCAAGCTGAAGGGTGGCCGGGGCAGGGGGGCGCCGGACCCCCAGGCGGAGCGACAGGTCTCCGGGCCCCCAGGCGGAGCGGGCGCGCGCCAGACCCCCAGGCGGAGCGGCGGGGCGCCGGGACCCCCAGGCGGGAGCGACAGGTCTCGGGCCCCCAGGCGGGAGCAGCGGGCGCCGGACCCCCAGGCGGAGCGACAGGTTCTCGGGCCCAGGCGGAGCGGCGAGCGCCGGTCTCGGGCCCCCAGGCGGAGCGACAGGTCTCGGGCCCCCAGGCGGTTCCACAGTGGCGGGCCCGCCGGACCCCCAGGCGGAGCGACAGGGTCTCGGGCCCCCCAGGCAGAGCGACAGGCACCGAGTCACCAGGCACGACAGTGGGCTCCGAGTCAACTGGCATGACCGCGGGCACTGGGTCAGACATTGGATCGTCTGGCTGGACAGCGGGCATCGGGTCACAAGGCATCAGGTCCATTTGGCTCGACAGCGGGCACCGCGTCATCTGGCAAGGCAGTGGGCACCAAGTCACCAGGCACGACAGTGGGCTCTGAGTCAATTGGCACGACAGGCGGGCACCGGGTCATCAGGTACCGGATCGTCTGGCTCGACAGCAGGCCACCGGGTCATCTGGCACTGGATCGTCTGGCTCGACAGCGGGCATCGGATCACAGGCATGACCGCGGGGCACTGGGTCATCAGGCATTGGATTGTCTGGCTCGACAGCGGGCATCGTGGTCACCTGGTATGACAGCGGCACTGGGTCTAACCAGGCATCAGGTCATTTGGCTCGCCAGCGGGGCACCGCGTCATCTGGCAAGGCAGTGGGCACCGAGTCACCAGGCACGACAGCGGGCTCTGAGTCAATTGGCACGGCAGCGGTCCACCGGGTCATCAGGTACTGGATCATCTGGCTCGACAGCAGGCACCGGGTCATCTGGCGCTGGATGTCTGGCTCGACAGCGGCATCGGGTCACCAGGCATGACAGCGGGCACTGGGTCATCAGGCATTGGATCGTCTGGCTCGACAGCGGGCATTGGGTCACCAGGTATGACAGCGGGCACCGGGTCATCAGGTACCTAGGGATCATCTGGATCAACAGCGAGCATCGAGTCAACTGGCCTAAATAGGATCATCAGGCTGGATCAGTTCTTCAGGCTGGGTAGAAACATCATGCTGGTAGAGGCATCAGGCTGAATGGAGGCATCAGGCTGAATAGAGGCATCAGGCTGAATAGAGGGATCAGGCTGGGTAGAGGCATCAGGCCTGGGGTAGAGGCATCAGGCCGGGTACAGACATCAGGCCGGGTACAGACATCAGGCCGGGTACAGCAGACATCAGGCCGGGTACAGACATCAGGCTGGGTACAGACATCAGGCTGAAGTGCGGGTGCCGAGGCACCAGCTGAACCACGGAAGGCCGGTTCTCAGACGGCAGGCTCTGACCGGTTTGGATACTGCAGGATGGTACTGGTTGGAAAGAATTTTCGCTTTTTTTTCTGGTTTTAACTACTGGAGCAACTGCAAGTAAATGCAGGTCTGCAAACAAATGGAGCAGCTGGAGACAGAGAAAGAAGCTGGAGGATGGAACAGGGGGAGGGAACAGTTGCTACAGAGGACTTCTTTACAGGGTTAAAGGCAGGATAGGTGCAGCGAGTGGGAACAGGTAACTGACATGCGGTAGATAGCAGGGCAGGAGGAGTGCTGTTTTGGAATGCAGGAATAGAGCTTTGAGGAAATAGATTAGAAGCGAGGACTGGTTTTTTGTAGGCTGACTGAGGCCTGGGTGCAACAAATCTGTTCCATGTCTGCAGTATGGGTTGAACAAAGCTGAGCTTACACAAAGCCTGTCTGACCAAAGACTGCACTGCGCGTTTATACAATCCCTTAATACCTGTGGTGAACATGCAGCATAAATGCTCCAAGAAGCAATCCACATCATAGTAAAATAAAAAAAATAAAACCCTCTATATAACCATACCAGGGACTCTACCTGGTCTGCACTAAATGGCGGCAAAAAGTCATTCCTGCTTTCAGGGGTTACCAGATGAAGCCAACTCTACACAAACCTGAAATCAAAGGTTGCACCTCAGAGAACTCTGTGCCCTGATCTACTAGAACATGAGCGATCCGTATACATTCTAGCATTGATCCGGGTATACTCCCTCAGAGCCTGATAAGCCATACTCTCTGTCATCAAACACTAGCAGAGACACAAATACACAACCTCATCAAGATCCATCCTTCCCATCAACAAACCAAGATGGGCTTCCCTGTGCAGCCACTTCTGGTCAGGATTGGCCTTGGTGTAATGTCAGAGCTCCCGGGTGTGACCAGAGGTATGTGACTGACGCAGGGAAACGCAGGCTTCAGATAAGTTATAAACAATATAATTTATTAAAGACTAACAATACAAACATAAACGCAGTGCAATACTAAAACATAACACAGTGCAAACGAACCAAACCAAACCACCCACAGATAATACATACAATGCAAGCGTCGTCAGGCAGGTCAATAACAATTGGGCAGGTAGGTACAGGGGTCAGGCAGAGAAGGTCGGGGTCACAAGCCAGGGATAAAACAGGAGAAGTCAGCAGAGGTCCGGACCAGGCAGGGTCAGCAACGAATCAGACAGAGACAGGAACAGGAACAGGAACAGGAATGCAGGATTACAAGATACAGGGCCCAGGAAAAACACACAACACCAAGGCCAAGACTGCAGTCTGGCCATCACCTAAATACACCTGCATAAGCAGCCTCAGGTGTTTGGCTGGCTGCAGGGTTGAGTCTCTGATTGCCGGGAGCACCCGCTGGCCAGCCCCGGCACTGCAGCCCACAAGGCAGGTGATTCCCACCATTACTGGCAAGTCCATTCCTAACACTGACAGAGAGCACAGCTGCAGTAGCTCTGCTCTCTGTCAGTTCCCTGACAGCTCCTGACATGCTGAGCAGGAGAGAAGAGTTTATCTCTCCCGATCAGTTTGTCCCCGTGCAGTACACACCCCCGTCCCCTAGTAAAAACACTCCCCTCACACAGTTAACCCTTTCACTGTATAATAAAGTTAAGCCCCTTCCTCCCCAGTGCCATTAGTACAGTGTCAGTGGTTTTTTTGGCACTGATCACTGTATTGGTGTCACTGGGGAATGTCAGTGTCCCCAAGTCAGTTCCCCCCCAGTGTCAGAATGTCCGCCGCAGTCCCCGGCATAATCGCTGATTGGCGTCATAAGTCACTGATCGCTGCCATAAGTCGCTGATCACCGCCATTATTAGTATATAAAAAAAAATTAAAAATCCCAGTATAATTTCCCGCCTTTTTGTAAACGCTATAACGTTCACGTAAACCAATTAATTTACACGTATTGGGTTTTTTTTAGCAAAGACATGTCGCAGAATGCATTTTGGCAGAAATTTATGACTAAATTTGATTTTTAATTTTTTTTTACTGGACATGTTTTATAGCAAAAAGTCCAAAATACTGTTTTTTTTTCCTCAAAATTGTCAGCCTTTTTTTTTTATAGCGCAAAAAATAAAAAAAACGCACAGGCGATCAAAGCTCAATTTGTGGGAAAAAAAGGATGTCAATTTCATTTTATGTACCGTATTCCATGACCGCGCAATTGTCCCGTTAAACTAGTGGCAGCGCTGTATAGCAAAAAAATGGCGTAAATTGCAGTATTTATACCATAGTTTGTAGACGCTATAAACTTTCACACAAAGCAATCAATATACACTTGTTGGAATTTTGCTTACCAAAAACATGTAGCAGAATACATTTTGGCCTAAATTATAGCTAACTTTGAGTTTACTATACACCGTGTTCCAAATTATTATGCAAATGATATTTTTCTCATTTACCTAAATAATTGATGTAAATAACAGTCAGCATAATTCTCATGTTATCAACTATTAAGAGTACAATTCAGATTTTATTGAACAGACCTCCTAATGATAACAGTACAATACACTGTTCCAAATTATTACGCATAGTAAGTTTCAAAACACTTTATAGGTTGTAAAGAACTGAAAATTGTCATTTGTTTGTGTTTGCAGCATATTTACTGAAATCAAAAGCTATTTCAATCAAACTTTTAACAACATTTTAACTTTTTAAACATTTTAACAGGTCACGTTACATTTTAACATAGGACCCCTCATTTGATAGCAGCTTTACAAGTCTTGCATCCATTGAACTTGTGAGTTTTTGGACAGTTTCTGCTTGAATTTGTTTGCAAGATGTCAGAATAGCCTCCCAGAGCTGCTGTTTGGATGTAAACTGCTTCCCACCCTCATAGATCTTTTGCTTGAGGATGCTCCAAAGGTTCTCAATATGATTGAGGTCAGGGGAGGATGGAGGCCACACCATGACTTTCTCCTCCTTTTATCCTCATAGCAGCCCTTGATGCAGAGGTATTCTGTGCAGCATGAGATGGTGCATTGTCATGCATGAAGATGATTTTATTAAGGAAAGCATAGTTCTTCCTTATGTACCAGAGAAGAAAGTGGTCAGTCATAAACTCCACATGCTTTGCAGAGGTCATCCTTACACCTTTGGGGACCTTAAAGGGGCCGACCAGCTCTGTTCCCATGATTCCAGCCCAAAACATGACTCCACCACCGCCTTGCTGACGTCGCAGCCTTGTTGGAACAGGGTGGCTGTCCTCCAACCATCCACTACTCTATCCATCTGGACCATCCAGGGTTGCACAGCACTCATCAGTGAACAGGACTGTTTGAAAATTAGTCTTATGTATTTTTCTGCTCAAAGCAGCCATTTCTGCTTGTGAGCATTGGTTAGTGGTGGCCGAATAGAAGGTTTATGCACAGTTGCAAGACTCTGGAGGACTCTACACCTTGATGTCCGTGGGACTCCACAGGCACCAGCAGCTTCAAATATCTGTTTACTGCTATGTAATGGCATTTTAGCAGTTGCTCTCTTGATCCGATGCATGGATCTGGCAGAAATCTTCCTCAATGTGCCTTATCTGCACGAACCCATCTGTGCTCTGAATCAGCCGCAAATCTCTTAATAGTGCGATGATCACGCTTAAGTTTTCGTGAAATAACTAATATTTTCATACCTCGTCCAAGGCATTGAACTATTTCACTCTTTTCGGCAGCAGAGAGATCCTTTTTCTTCCCCATATTGCTTGAAAATGGTGCTCTGCTTAATAATGTGGAACACCCTCCTTTAGTAGTTTTTCCTTAAATTGGGCTCTCCGGCCAATCTAATTATCACAGGTGTCTGATATTATTTGTGTGAAAAAAAGGACGTAAATTTAGTTTGGGTGCAGCATTGCATGACCGCGCAATTATTAGTTGAACTAGTGCAGCGCCGAGTAGCAAAAAGAGGCCTGGTCATTAAGGGGGGTAAATCCTTAGAAGGGCAAGTGGTTAAAGCAGTATTAAACCTAAAACCAAAATGTAATATTTGCAGCTTACTAGTCCTTAGATGTGGTTGCTGCATTAGTTTATATTAGGCTTTTTCCCCTTTGTTGTCACCTGGTGATCTGCCCAGTAACACAACTCCTGCAATAAAGTGCCCCCACTCTTAATAAAAGAGCACAGGGGCACCTTTGGAAAACAGCATTGTCAATCTGAGTGGAAGGGATGTATTAGATGCACTAACTGATTTAGATACACTAATGAATTGAAGCCAACAAAGCAGTTACACAAGCAGTTACAGCAACATTTTTTTTCCTTTTGGGATAAATGTTTTACAGGAATAAATAAAAGGTGACCATTGCAAGCACTCTTGATACCATTTTTAATTATTTAATTTCTTGTTTTTTTTTTTTTATTGAAGTATAAATAATGGTGATACAGAAACCAGTGTGTTCAGTTGTAATTTTTGTTGTAGATTTGTTTTTGCTGATGTTGACTATCCACTTGCCATCTGTGTTACCTAGTTGCATGACACCAG